CAGTTATAGGAGTCATGATATTTCCTATGATATACAAGGGTCTCTTGGACACGTATGGTTGGAGAGGCACGTATATTTTGCTGGCTGCTATAAATTCACATATTGTACTATGTGCTATATTGCTAAGACCGATAAAGAAACAGAGCATTCAGTCAGTCAGAGACATTGATACATCAAATGCAAGAAACACATCACCCAATAACACCTTTATGAAGAGACAGTTGCAGTCATCGGGATTTAATCTTCTTTGTGAAAATAGACTTTTTGCTCTGAACAGTTTTGCTGCCTTCCTTGGAAAGTTTGCTTACGTAGTGGCTTTGTTGTTGTTCGTGCCTTGTGTTATTGACAAAGGATTGAGTCAAATACAAGCAGCAGTATTAGGGACAATTATTGGATTATCAGGACTAATTTCACGGGTTATAAACGGATTTGTCAGCTGTCTACGTATTATTGACGACAGATATATACTAGTATTTATGATGTTTGTTCGGGGAATATCATTCATACTTGTACCATTGGCTTTGACATTCCGTGATTTGGCTATATTGGCTGCCGTAATTGGTATGACTTTAGGGGTATACACACCGGCAGTATATGTATTCATAAAGACACTTGTAGGAGTTGAGAACTATGCTGGAGGTATTGGGATAACTGTCTGTGCTTTTGGTATTGCAGCATTCATAGCACCGAGCTTGGGCGGTAAGTATGCATTTATAACTATTGTTTGGAGCTTCATAGTTGTCTTCTTACATTGTAATGTCGGATATGGGTTCCAAATGATGTGTTTAACGTGTGTATTGTGTTTTGTTTACTTTCGAACGCGTGTGCGACGACTGTGATGCTTCAAGAAGGGGGGAAAGCTGGTACAGGTCACAGGAAATAAAAAATGCATTTTACGTTTTTACAAAAAGGAAAGTTCCAATTACAGTAACGAAAATAGTTCTTTACATATAAAGCAAATTGCTTATTACATTTTTCATTTTTATAATATACTGCGCATGTTCGACATTTGTGTTGATAAACATTGATTTTCCCACAATCCAATGCGCTTTTCAAATGGAAATCACAAGTATGAGGTTTGACCTGGGCGCGACTTGCACTAATTACCGTCGGTGACTGCTTCGATACCTTCCAATAACATGAAAATTACATAATTAAAACTTTGAAACGTGTCAGTTCGTACTCGTTGATCTGCGCAACAGTCAAAGTCGCCATCTTTGTTTATATGAGACCCATATATCTCGTACATGCGCATCGCGACGACTACAGCGCTTTAAGAATCAAAATTGGAAATTGCGTATCAAGTATGACATTTAATGTTGAACATGCTTTATACAATTACAAAAATTAAGATATTTGAACAAATTACGGACGAATAAAATAGCTGATTATTTTTTGTCAATGTCTACAAATTTACGTATTTGAATTACAATAAAAATAAAAACAAGTGATTACAGCTTACGGAAATGCCCCTTGCAGTCCCTCCTTCAACGTTTCTACTAAACCAAATTCAAATTTACAACACTGAGCAAGTTACTGGGCGCGTGTGCAAATATATACCGTCTAATATAAATACTAGTATCCCTATATAGTTACTGTATTTATAATTTTTGTATTCATTGAGTTTGTATGCGTTTTTGTTATTTGCTGTGTAGTCGTACAATATTACGAGATTACCGCCATCTCCCGGTATAATACGCGTGATAAATTTCAACTCATGAATACCGCCAATCCCACTCTATCTACTTATTTTGAGTTTTGTCATTGGCCTAACAGGTTTTAAGGTTTGATTCAGTTCAAGACGTCCAGTCGAAGCAGCAATTCGAAAATATCACATATGTATAAGTCTGTGATTGGTTGGATTCTGATTAGTATACGTGACTGAACTCTGAACATAACATGCACCCCCGGGAACACACATCAAGTATAGCAAGTTTTCATTCGTTGAAATGTTTACATCACTACATTTGTCTTTGTTTTTTGTGTTATAATTTTCCTATGGGTTTATTATAGGTGCAATATTTGACGAGACTGGTAATTATGACGTCGTCTTCTACTTGGATGGCGGTACATCTATTATAAGTGCAGTTTTACATCTAACGGTTGGACTGGTTTTAAGGACCTATGAAATAAAGCGCAAGGCAGCCGCGCATCGTTGTGATAATACTTCCCCAGAAGATTTAAATTTGACAGAAGTTACTAGTAGACACACACAAGACAAAGGGTGCCAGACTGGCCACTGAGTCCAATAGATTAAAGTTCTGTCCTTCTGCAATTTACAAAGCACTGAAGGACCCAATTTTATTTGAGAATTGATTCTGGGATAACTTTTATTGTTTCTTTGTGGATCAAAATAGAAAGAGGGATAACCACAGCTAAAAGTTTCGAAGCAAGGATGAGTTGTAACATTATAGGTTTTTTGGCCAATTGTTTTCGAATTCACTTGTTTTGTGTGCTCCGGTCATTGACGTACACTCTCAGGTCTAATGTGTTCAAAACTGTTAATATTGTGAGAAAACAGCCGGGCTAATCACCTGGTCAGATGGACTTTACCATATAAATTTTAAACCGCAGAGTTAGGTTGCCCATTGCGACCTCTCTCGATCTTTGTTGTTATAGTAATTCCTGGTTGATATTATATCAAATTTTGTTTCTCATAATTAATGACGTCTTTCTCTCAATAATAATGAAGTCTCTAGGACCTTGTTTGCACTAATGTGTAGGTTTTTATTAAAACAGAATTGTGCCTTTTCAACTATACTGTATCTGGAAATAATAACCTGTTAATTTACAATTTAAATAGATTTCCATAACCATAACATGAATAAAATTGTATACTTCATTTGTTCAAAGGAATGGAAGGTGCGACTTTCGCCCCAAACCTCATTATATATATGACAGATTTAATATACTCAGTACTAACCTAGTAGACCTGCTGAGTGGTATATTGCTGTGAAGAATTAAATATTAATGGTGGTAAAAATAACATTATATGTTGTGCCACCCGGTCATTGAATTGAATTTTTCAATATAATATATATATTTAGCACGTGGCCAACAGCCCGTGACCAATCAGAGTCGCG